TGTTAATCTGTTTGTTCTCCCTTCCTTCCGAATTGTAAGCCGCCCTGAGTCCCCCCAGGGAAAAGGGCGGCATATAAATAAACTACTCAAACTCATACTCAATGCAAGGATCCCACAGTCTCCTCCCACTCTCTTCCCCCAGACCCCACTGCCTTCTAGAGCTAAAGATGCCACCTAATTGAATCATGAAACATCTGCAAGCGAAGATCCAAGCTCAGAGAGCACCAAGGACCCCACAGTCCTCCTCCTCCTCCTCTCCACAAACCCCACTCCCTTCTAGCACTGGTGATGTTCTCTAGTGGGGTCATGAAACGTTTGCAAGAAAACAAACAAGCTCAGAGAGCACCAAGGACCCCACAGTCCCCCTCCTCCTTTTCCACAACCCCACATCCCTTCTAGCACTGATGATGTTCTCTAGTTGGGTCATGAAGTTGGGTCTGCAAGAAAACAAGCCCAGAGAGCAGCCAGGACCACTCGTGTCAACCCTGAGCTATAAATATTCTCCTTTATTGCTCTTCCTCCTCCTTTCCACACACCCCCTTCCCTTCTAGTACTGAAGATGTTACCTGGTAGGGTCATGGAATGTCTGCCACAAAACAGCCAAGCTCAGAGAGCACCAAAACACCCCATAGTCCTTTTCCTCCTCCACCTCCTCCTCCATTCTGCAAACCCTACTCTCTTCTAGCATGGATGATGTTCCCTCGCTGGGTCATGAAATGTCTGCAAGAGAACAAGCTAATCCTGAGAACACCCAAGACCCTACAGTCCTTTTCCTCCTCCTCCTCTCCACAACCCTCCTTCCCTTCTAGCACTGATGATGTTACCTGGTAGGGTCACGAAACGTCTGCAAGAAAACCACCAAAGCTCAGAGGGCACTCCCCCCCCAACAGCAGAATTACTCATTACCTAACAGGGCAGCTCCATGACTGATATCTGACGGGCATCCAAACCCGCCCGCCGTAACTCCGAAGCAAGCTCGATCTGATTGGGAGGGGCGGATTCCCCGGCCACCCTCCCCCTGGGGCTGCAATCAGGGCAACCCAGCCCCATCATCCCCGGCCCTCCTGGCCATCAAAGCCCATCATTCTCCCCCCACACCGCAAGCAGGACCCAGGGGTGTTCCACGAGATCATATAGCCGGTCCCCTCCCCGCAATCACAGTGGGGGGGGTATACCCTACCTGCCTCCCTTGGCGAAGAAACCGTCCCGGGGCGGCCTAGGCGCCGGTAAGCACGTCGCCGGAGCTGCCCAACCGCCTCTGGCTCTCCCTAGCCGGGGCCGGTCCTCGGGCGAAGTGCGAGGCCCAACTGTCTCCGCCGCCTCCCTCCGGCCAGCTGCCACGTCTCTTCCGGGAACGTCGCGCTCTGTTTGCGTCACGCCGTCCGCTCTCTCTTTCTCTCTTTCTCTCTATCCTCTCTCACTCACTCACTTCCTGCCCCCGCCTTCCTTCCCAAAGATGGCGCCGGCCGCTCGGTTGCGCTTTTCCGGCGGTCGGCCAGGTCGTCACTTCCGGCGAGGTACGGCGGGCGATTTCAACGGCGTTGAGAGGCCGCCATGGCGGGAGGCCGCCCTGGGAGGCGGGCGCGCTCGGCCGGGGAGGCCCGGGAAGGTGAGGGGGGTTGCTCCAGGGAGAAGGCCCGGGATGGGGAGGGGGCTTCCCTGCCTCGCTTCCAAGGCGCCCCTGGGACGCCCCTGCGCGGTTGGGGCGGTTCGCCGGGCGCAGGAAGGAGCTGCGGGGGTGGCTGGACGCTTCATCCGCTTGTTTATTTCCCGCCTTTATCTCCTGTTATTATAACATTTATTTATTTATTTATTTATTTATTTATCTCCTGTTATTATAACCCGTATTATTTATTTATCTCCTGTGATTATATCCCGCATTTATTTATTTACTGTTATTATATGCCGCCTTAATTTACTTATTATTATTTATTATTTACTTTATTCATTAAACATGAATAAAATGTCAAGTCAACATTTAAAAATGTGTCACAAATTTCATGGAGTGGCTGCCTCCTATGTTATCATCAGCATTATTCATTATTTGCTTTTTATTTTTATTATATCCTGCCTTCATCCATTATTATATTCCACTTTATTACTATACTTTCCCATTATTATTATTATTATTATTATTATTATTATTATTATTATTATTATTATTATTATTATTGTACAATTGTATCACAGCAGTCAGTT